TATAGGAGTGTATAAAAATTTTGTCTTTACTGTACCAAGCTTGTTTAAATTGCATGTATGTTTAGTCTGTGCGGTTTCGAGTTCTTTAGTTTCTGTCCAGTGAAGTGTAAATATACACACTAACATTGTACTGTCTTGCACGAAAATACTGTAAAATACAGGCAAACAAGGTTTGAAAATATTTTGCAAACTGAACATCAAGATCGGAAATAAAAGTTTGTCCCAGCAACCAACAAATGAAGCAGTAGTCTTTCAGGAAGGTCACAGATAGATATATACCGCTTTGAATATAAGAACATATATATAGCCAAATTGACCAACAATAACGAAACCCAAATTAGCCTACAAAACAAAACAAAACGCAAAGCACCCAAACAAAACCGACGAAACAAGCCTTATAAAGCCTTTTCATGTACCCAATTGTATATGGATATAATGATATATAAATCCCAGCGTAAGGATAACTCAAAGTATACGAAGCAAGACAAAATAAAAATAATGAAGCGAATTAGCAATACAACTACAACATGACAAGATATTCCAGAGATACTAACAATCAAAGCTGAGACAGATATAAGAGCTAGGTTATCCCAACAAGAAAAGTAAATGCCAAAGACTAAGCCTTTGCATTGCGATTTTACTGAACATAAAGATGATTGAATATAAAGATTCAAGACACATTCTCACCAAATACAAGTGAATTAAATCCCAGCACAAGGATAACTCAAAGTCTACGAAGCAAGAAAACAAAATAAGAATATTGAATTGCAATAGCAATACAGCACGAGAAGACGTTCCAGAGATACTAACAATCAAAGCTGAGACAGATATAAGACATAGGTTATCCCTACAAGAAAACTAAATGCCGAAGACTAAGCCTTTGTATTGCGATTTTCCTGACCATAAAGCTAATACAAACGAATTAAATCCCAGCACAAAGATAACTCAAAGTCTACGAGGCAAGACAACAAAATAAGAATAATGAATCGCAATTGAAATACAACATGAGAAGACGTTCCAGAGATACTAACAATCAAAGCTGAGACAGATATAAGAGCTAGGTTATCCCAACAAGAAAAGCAAATGCCAAAGACTAAGCCTTTGCATTGCGATTTTACTGAACATAAAGCTATTGATTGAATATAAAGATTCAAGACACATTCTCACCAAATACAAGTGAATTAAATCCAAGCACAAGGATAACTCAAAGCCTACGAAGCAAGAAAACAAAATAAGAATATTAAATCGCAATAGCAATACAGCACGAGAAGACGTTCCAGAGATACTAACAATCGAAGCTGAAACAAATATAAGACATAGGTTATCTTTACAAGAAAACTAAATGCCGAAGACTAAGCGTTTGCATTGCGATTTTACTGACCACAAAGCTAATTCAAACGAATTAAATCCCAGCACAAAGATAACTCAAAGTCTACGTGGCAAGACAACAAAATAGGAATATTGAATTGCAATAGCAATACAGCAAGAGAAGACGTTCCAGAGATACTAAAAATCAAAGCTGAGACAGATATAAGACATAGGTTATCCCTACAAGAAAACTAAATGCCAAAGACTAAGTGTTTCATTGCGATTTTACTGACCATAAAGTTAATACAAACGAATTAAATCCCAGCACAAAGATAACTCAAAGTCTACGAAGCAAGACAAAAAAAAATAATGAAGCGAATTAACAATACAACTACAACATGACAAGATATTCCAGAGATACTAACAATCAAAGCTGAGACAGATATAAGAGCTACGTTATCCCAACAAGAAAAGTAAATGCCAAAGACTAAGCCTTTGCATTGCGATTTTACTGAAAATAAAGATAATTATCGAATATAAAGATTCAAGACACATTCTCACCAAATACAAGTGAATTAAATCTCAGCACAAGTCTACGGAGCAAGAAAACAAAATAAAAATATTGAATCGCAATAGCAATACAACACGAGAAGACGTTCCAGAGATACTAACAATCAAAGCTGAGACAGATATAAGACATAGGTTATCCCTACAAGAAAACTAAATGCTGAAGACTAATCGTTTGCATTGCGATTTTACTGACCATAAAGCTAATACAAACGAATTAAATCCCAGCACAAAGATAACTCAAAGTCTACAAGGCAAGACAACAAAATAAGAATAATGAATCGCAATAGAAATACAACATGAGAAGACAGATATAAGAGATATGTTTTCCAAACAAGAAAACTATATGGCAAAGAAAGAAACGACATAAAGAGGATAGTGCTCTGCGAGGAAAAATTAGAAGAGCGTAATAGGAACTAAAGGACACGAGGAGAATCATCAAGAAATGAAAAGAATATTGACATATGGATGTGTTATATACAAGAATGGTTTTAATTATTCAAGAATAAGTAAATCATCACATAGAGCGTAACGAAGGATTAAAGTACAATGGAACATGGACAATTGCTTTTGTATATTGGAGCTTTATTTACAACTTGAAGCTGGAAAGGAATCCTCACAATTTTGGCTAAACTGCTATAGATAACATGCTCGTCTTAATTAGCAGATAGAAAAAGCTTTACAGAAGGATGAAGAGCTTATCAGAAGAAAGCACAAAAATAGTGCATGTTTGACATTGCCTGTTAGGTTTTTATAATTACTATTTTCGTTATATATAACCGTACGTCCTGTGTCCCAAGTGCAGGAGTCACCGTTTTAAAGCGGTGATAGCCGGGAGGGCACATTGTATATACACTTTGTATATATATATATATATATATATATAGGAGTGTATAAAAAATTTTGTCTTTACTGTACCAAGTTTGTTTAAATTCGCATGTATGTTTAGTCTGTGCGGTTTCGAGTTCTTTAGTTTCTGTCCAGTGAAGTGTAAATATACACACTAACATTGTACTGTCTTGCACGAAAATACTGTAAAATACAGGCAAACAAGGTTTGAAAATATTTTGCAAACTGAACATCAAGATCGGAAATAAAAGTTTGTCCCAGCAACCAACAAATGAAGCAGTAGTCTTTCAGGAAGGTCACAGATAGATATATACCGCTTTGAATATAAGAACATATATATAGCCAAATTGACCAACAATAACGAAACCCAAATTAGCCTACAAAACAAAACAACAAAACGCAAAGCACCCAAACAAAACCATCAATAATACGTAGTACCGACGAAACAAGCCTTATAAAGCCTTTTCATGTATTCAATTGTATATGGATATAATGATATATAAATCCCATCGTAAGGATAACTCAAAGTGTACGAAAATAAAAATAATGAAGCGAATTAGCAATACAACTACAACTTGACAAGATATTCCAGAGATACTAACAATCAAAGCTGAGACAGATATAAGAGCTAGGTTATCCCAACAAGAAAAGTAAATGCCAAAGACTAAGCATTTGCATTGCGATTTTACTGAAAATAAAGCTAATGATTGAATATAAAGATTCAAGACACATTCTCACCAAATACAAGTGAATTAAATCTCAGCACAAGTCTACAGAGCAAGAAAACAAAATAAGAATATTGAATCGCAATAGGAATACAACACGAGAAGGCGTTCCAGAGACACTAACAATCAAACCTGAGACAGATATAAGACATAGGTTTTCCAAACACGAAAACTAAATGGCAAAGAAACAAACGACATAAAGAGGATAGTGCTCTGCGAGGACAAATAGAAGAGCTGAATAGGAACTAAAGGACACGAGGAGAATCATCAAGAAATGAAAAGAATATTGACATATGGATGTGTTATATACAAGAATGGTTTTAATTATTCAAGAATAAGTAAATCATCACATAGAGCGTAACGAAGGATTAAAGTACAATGGAACATGGACAATTGCTTTTGTATATGTGAGAAACTATATCGAGTTGTTAAGAGCAGAGCGTAAATATTGATGAGAAAAAGAAAATACACAAAAACTACAATTTCATCCCGACAAGCCTGTTTCGTGATTTCTCACTCTTCAGGGGATAATATTAAATGAATACAAAGCATGTGCTAGATATATATACAAGAGGAAGTTAGGTTAAAAATTGAGATAGAATTACATAATATATTGAGTGTAATGATTACAAATTACATAAAGTGGTGTCTATGGCGACAAGAGGAGATAAGTTCGTTACGTTTGTTGAGTGATGATAGTTGTGGTTGGTAGGTGATGAAGAGTTTTCTTCATATAGGTTGCATCTTTGTTGGCGCTGTTGTACGGTTTGCTGTGAGTAATGATGTTCCATGAGATATGTGAGCGATGTTGTTGTTCCTTTAGTGTCCATATGTGTTTGCTGAGTTCGGTGGAGTTTTCTTAGTTTTTGTGGCGAAAAGAGGCAGTATGGTTTCTGTGTCGACTCTTAAATTCGTTTCTGTAAGTCCGATGGTGGTCTCAGTTGTGTTATTGTCTAAACGTTTAACAGTTGCTGGGACTGAGATGATTGTGGCAGCTCGTTAAGTAAGCAGTTTTGTTTTGACGGCAGTTGCATGTTTTGTTTGTGTATTTTGTCATTGATGGTGTTAGTATTGTCAGGTTCTCTCTAATATGCGTTTGTTATGGAGCATAATATGTTCCATATTGTTCATGCAGCTGTAACTTAATTTAATTGTGTTGCGGTTAAATAGTTTTCTGAGTTTGTGGTCTATGGAAAGTGCTTTGTCAATTAGTGAAATGAATTTGTAGCCGATGTTTGTGCTGACGTTCTTGCTGTATGGTGGGTTGTACCAGAGTATGTTATTTAAGTCTGTTTTCCGTTTCGTAGTAGCGTTGGGTCATATTTCAGCGTAATGATATCCATTTTCGTCAAGCGCTTTTTGGTATGGAGGGATTGTTGGTCGAATGATGCTCTGTCGGATGATAAGGATGAAAGGCGTTTGTTAATGGTATCGGTATGTTCTTTGTAATGCTTGGAGGATGGTTGCTTTCGTGGTGGATGTATAAAGAGGTGTTGGGTTTAGAAGAAAGTATTTATACCTCCATATATATATATATATATATATATATAGGAGTGTATAAAAACTTTTGTCTTTACTGTACCAAGCTTGTTTAAATTCGCATGCATGTTAAGTCTGTGCGGTTTCGAGTTCTTTAGTTTCTGTCCAGTGAAGTGGAAATATACACACTAACATTGTGCTGTCTTGCACGAAAATACTGTAAAATACAGGCAAACAAGGTTTGAAAATATTTTGCAAACTGAACATCAAGATCGGAAATAAAAGTTTGTCCCAGCAACCAACAAATGAAGCAGTAGTCTTTCAGGAAGGTCACAGATAGATATATACCGCTTTGAATATAAGAATATATATATAGCCAAATTGACCAACAATAATGAAACCCAAATTAGCCTACAAAACAAAACAACAAAACGCAAAGCACCCAAACAAAACCATCAATAATACGTAGTACCGACGAAACAAGCCTTATAAAGCCTTTTCATGTATTCAATTGTATATGGATATAATGATATATAAATCCCAGCGTAAGAATAACTCAAAGTCTACGAAGCAAGACAACAAAATAAAATAATGAAGGAATTAGCAATACAACTACAACATGACAAGATATTCCAGAGATACTAACAATCAAAGCTGAGACAGATATAAGACATAGGTTATCCCTACAAGAAAACTAAATGCCGAAGACTAAGCGTTTGCATTGCGATTTTACTGACCATAAAGCTAATACAAACGAATTAAATCCCAGCACAAAGATAACTCAAAGTCTACAAGGCAAGACAACAAAATAAGAATAATGAATCGCAATAGAAATACAACATGAGAAGACAGATATAAGAGATATGTTTTCCAAACAAGAAAACTATATGGCAAAGAAAGAAACGACATAAAGAGGATAGTGCTCTGCGAGGAAAAATTAGAAGAGCGTAATAGAAACTAAAGGACACGAGGAGAATCATCAAGAAATGAAAAGAATATTGACATATGGATGTGTTATATACAAGAATGGTTTTAATTATTCAAGAATAAGTAAATCATCACATAGAGCGTAACGAAGGATTAAAGTACAATGGAACATGGACAATTGCTTTTGTATATTGGAGCTTTATTTACAACTTGAAGCTGGAAAGGAATCCTCACAATTTTGGCTAAACTGCTATAGATAACATGCTCGTCTTAATTAGCAGATAGAAAAAGCTTTACAGAAGGATGAAGAGCTTATCAGAAGAAAGGACAAAAATAGTGCATGTTTGACATTGCCTGTTAGGTTTTTATAATTACTATTTTCGTTATATATAACCGTACGTCCTGTGTCCCAAGTGCAGGAGTCACCATTGCACTGTGGTGATAGCCGGGAGAGTACGTTGTATATACACCTTGCATATATATATATATATATATATAGGAGTGTATAAAAACTTTTGTCTTTACTGTACCAAGCTTGTTTAAATTTGCATGCATGTTTAGTCTGTGCAGTTTCGAGTTGTTTAGTTTCTGTCCAGTGAAGTGTGAATATACACACTAACATTCTGTAAAATACAGGCAAACAAGGTTTGAAAATATTTTGCAAACTGAACATCAAGATCGGAAATAAAAGTTTGTCCCAGGAACCAACAAATGAAGCAGTAGTCTTTCAGGAAGGTCACAGATAGATATATACCGCTTTGAATATAAGAACATATATATAGCCAAATTGACCAACAATAACGAAATCCAAATTAGCCTACAAAACAAAACAACAAAACGCAAAGCACCCAAACAAAACCATCAATAATACGTAGTACCGACGAAACAAGCCTTATAAAGCCTTTTCATGTATTCAATTGTATATGGATATAATGATATATAAATCCCAGCGTAAGGATAACTCAAAGTCTACGAAGCAAGACAACAAAATAAAAATAATGAAACGAATTAGCAATACAACTACAACATGACAAGATATTCCAGAGATACTAACAATCAAAGCTGAGACAGATATAAGAGCTAGGTTATCCCAACAAGAAAAGTAAATGCCAAAGACTAAGCCTTTGCATTGCGATTTTACTGAACATAAAGATGATTGAATATAAAGATTCAAGACACATTCTCACCAAATACAAGTGAATTAAATCCCAGCACAAGGATAACTCAAAGTCTACGAAGCAAGAAAACAAATAAGAATATTGAATCGCAATAGCAATACAACTACAACATGACAAGATATTCCAGAGATACTAACAATCAAAGCTGAGACAGATATAAGACATAGGTTATCCCAACAAGAAAAGTAAATGCCAAAGACTAAGCCTTTGCATTGCGATTTTACTGAACATAAAGATGATTGAATATAAAGATTCAAGACACATTCTCACCAAATACAAGTGAATTAAATCCCAGCACAAGGATAACTCAAAGTCTACGAAGCAAGAAAACAAATAAGAATATTGAATTGCAATAGCAATACAACTACAACATGACAAGATATTCCAGAGATACTAACAATCAAAGCTGAGACAGATATAAGAGCTAGGTTATCTCAACAAGAAAAGTAAATGCCAAAGACTAAGCCTTTGCATTGCGATTTTACTGAAAATAAAGCTAATGATTGAATATAAAGATTCAAGACACATTTTCACCAAATACAAGTGAATTAAATCTCAGCACAAGTCTACGGAGCAAGAAAACAAAATAAGAATATTGAATCGCAATAGCAATACAACACGAGAAGACGTTCCAGAGATACTAACAATCAAAGCTGAGACAGATATAAGGCATAGGTTATCCCTACAAGAAAACTAAATGCCGAAGACTAAGCATTTGCATTGCGATTTTACTGACCATAAAGCTAATACAAACGAATTAAATCCCAGCACAAAGATAACTCAAAGTCTACGAGGCAAGACAACAAAATAAGAATAATGAATCGCAATAGAAATACAACATGAGAAGACGGATATAAGAGATATGTTATCCAAACAAGAAAACTAAATGGCAAAGAAAGAAACGACATAAAGAGGATAGTGCTCTGAGGAAAAATAGAAGAGCTTAATAGGAACTAAAGGACACGAGGAGAATCATGAAGCATAAAGCTAATACAAACGAATTAAATACCAGAACAAAGATAACTCAAAGTCTACGAGGCAAGACAACAAAATAAGAATAATGAATCGCAATAGAAATACAACATGAGAAGACAATCCAGAGATACTAACAAAAAACAGAGACACATATAAGACATATGTTTTCCAAACAAGAAAACTAAATGGCAAGAAAAAACGACATAAAGAGGATAGTGCTCTGAGGACAAATAGAAGAGCTGAATAGGAACTAAAGGACACGAGGAGAATCATCAAGAAATGAAAAGAATATTGACATATGGATGTGTTATATACAAGAATGGTTTTAATTATTCAAGAATAAGTAAATCATCACATAGAGCGTAACGAAGGATTAAAGTACAATGGAACATGGACAATTGCTTTTGTATATTGCAGCTTTATTTACAACTTGAAGCTGGAAAGGAATCCTCACAATTTTGGCTAAACTGCTATAGATAACATGCTCGTCTTAATTAGCAGATAGAAAAAGCTTTACAGAAGGATGAAGAGCTTATCAGAAAAAAGCACAAAAATAGTGCATGTTTGACATTGCCTGTTAGGTTTTATAATTACTATTTTCGTTATATATAACGGTACGTCCTGTGTCCCAAGTGCAGGAGTCACCATTGCACTGTGGTGATAGCCGGAGAGTACGTTGTATATACACCTTGCATATATATATATATATATATATATAGGAGTGTATAAAACTTTGTCTTTACTGTACCAAGCTTGTTTAAATTCGCATGCATGTTTAGTCTGTGCGGTTTCGAGTTCTTTAGTTTCTGTCCAGTGAAGTGTGAATATACACACTAACATTGTACTGTCTTGCACGAAAATACTGTAAAATACAGGCAAACAAGGTTTGAAAATATTTTGCAAACTGAACATCAAGATCGGAAATAAAAGTTTGTCCCAGCAACCAACAAATGAAGCAGTAGTCTTTCAGGAAGGTCACAGATAGATATATACCGCTTTGAATATAAGAACATATATATAGCCAAATTGACCAACAATAACGAAACCAAATTAGCCTACAAAACAAAACAACAAAACGCAAAGCACCCAAACAAAACCATCAATAATACGTAGTACCGACGAAACAAGCCTTATAAAGCCTTTTCATGTATTCAATTGTATATGGATATAATGATATATAAATCCCAGCGTAAGGATAACTCAAAGTCTACGAAGCAAGACAACAAAATAAAAATAATGAAGCGAATTAGCAATACAACTACAACATGACAAGATATTCCAGAGATACTAACAATCAAAGCTGAGACAGATATAAGAGCTAGGTTATCCCAACAAGAAAAGTAAATGCCAAAGACTAAGCCTTTGCATTGCGATTTTACTGAACATAAAGGTAATGATTGAATATAAAGATTCAAGACACATTCTCACCAAATACAAGTGAATTAAATCCCAGCACAAGGATAACTCAAAGTCTACGAAGCAAGAAAACAAATAAGAATATTGAATCGCAATAGCAATACAACTACAACATGACAAGATATTCCAGAGATACTAACAATCAAAGCTGAGACAGATATAAGAGCTAGGTTATCTCAACAAGAAAAGTAAATGCCAAAGACTAAGCCTTTGCATTGCGATTTTACTGAAAATAAAGCTAATGATTGAATATAAAGATTCAAGACACATTCTCACCAAATACAAGTGAATTAAATCTCAGCACAAGTCTACGGAGCAAGAAAACAAAATAAGAATATTGAATCGCAATAGCAATACAACACGAGAAGACGTTCCAGAGATACTAACAATCAAAGCTGAGACAGATATAAGACATAGGTTATCCCTACAAGAAAACTAAATGCCGAAGACTAAGCGTTTGCATTGCGATTTTACTGACCATAAAGCTAATACAAACGAATTAAATCCCAGCACAAAGATAACTCAAAGTCTACGAGGCAAGACAACAAAATAAGAATAATGAATCGCAATAGAAATACAACATGAGAAGACAGATATAAGAGATATGTTTTCAAACAAGAAAACTAAATGGCAAAGAAAGAAACGACATAAAGAGGATAGTGCTCTGAGGAAAAATAGAAGAGCTTAATAGGAACTAAAGAACACGAGGAGAATCATGAAGCATAAAGCTAATACAAACGAATTAAATACCAGCACAAAGATAACTCAAAGTCTACCAGGCAAGACAACAAAATAAGAATAATGAATCGCAATAGAAATACAACATGAGAAGACAATCCAGAGATACTAACAAAAAACAGAGACACATATAAGACATATGTTTTCCAAACAAGAAAACTAAATGGCAAAGAAAAACGACATAAAGAGGATAGTGCTCGTCGAGGACGAATAGAAGAGCTGAATAGGAACTAAAGGACACGAGGAGAATCATCAAGAAATGAAAAGAATATTGACATATGGATGTGTTATATACAAGAATGGTTTTAATTATTCAAAATAAGTAAATCATCACATAGAGCGTAACGAAGGATTAAAGTACAATGGAACATGGACAATTGCTTTTGTATATTGGAGCTTTATTTACAACTTGAAGCTGGAAAGGAATCCTCACAATTTTGGCTAAACTGCTATAGATAACATGCTCGTCTTAATTAGCAGATAGAAAAAGCTTTACAGAAGGATGAAGAGCTTATCAGAAGAAAGGACAAAAATAGTGCATGTTTGACATTGCCTGTTAGGTTTTATAATTACTATTTTCGTTATATATAACGGTACGTCCTGTGTCCCAAGTGCAGGAGTCACCATTGCACTGTGGTGATAGCCGGGAGAGTACGTTGTATATACACCTTGCATATATATATATATATATATATATAGGAGTGTATAAAAACTTTTGTCTTTACTGTACCAAGCTTGTTTAAATTCGCATGCATGTTTAGTCTGTGCGGTTTCGAGTTCTTTAGTTTCTGTCCAGTGAAGTGTGAATATACACACTAACATTGTACTGTCTTGCACGAAAATACTGTAAAATACAGGCAAACAAGGTTTGAACCAACAAACATTGTATTATTTCCTTGGGAAGACTTTAACGATTTCATGGAACAAAAAAATAAACCTAGTCAATGCACATTTTTCAATACATCTATGGTTTTGTTACTTATTCATTTTGAATGATCATTTGTTCACTCGACTGTTTGGTGTTAAGTAACTATTTAAATATTCAATTATTAGGCAAATTGTTACAATCATAAATGGTGTCAAATTTATTTCATTTTTTTAAGGAATTACACAGCGGAGGAAGATCAAAAGTTGTTAACGTACATAAAAGAACATTAAAGAAAAGTGTACGGCAACAACTTTTGGAAAAAAAATGGCGAAAGAAAATGTAATGCATTGACGATTATTTCGTAAAATGGGATCAGCACTTTGATATAATTTGCCTGATCTAAATTTCTCTAGATCATTGAAGGAAGAACGTGGCAAATCCTGAAAGGCCGTTACAATAGATATTTCAGTAAGTAAGTCAATTAATAAACACATGTTTGCTTTCAGTTTGGTAAATGTCAAAGAGATATAAGAATTACATGTGAAGAAGATAAATATTTGATTTCTATGGATTATTAAAGCTTAAGTTTGATTTTGATATCAAGAAACACACATTTAGGCTTGCTTTTTATCTATTCCTTGATTACAGAAAACACGACTGAAGATGAGCCGTCTCCTCAATTTTGAAAAAGCCATCAAGTAGTTTTTTATGATGCTAAGAGGACAATTACATGGAGCAATTTCAACCCGGGCTTAGTTTCAGCCTGTTTGTCGTGCTGAAATTTCAGCAAGGTTCTGTTACAA